TCATCTGAACTTGTATTCTTGTGGAGACTGGATGATTTATCTGTCAAAGAGGCAGTAGAAGGATTCTTGTGTGGAGGCTGACATTGGATTAAATTACTGCTTCAGTCCCTTTTTGCTGAAGAAGTTCAACTTCACGTTTCAACTTGAAAACTTCCTGTAACTTGTAGTAAATGTTAGTGATTTCTACACTAGCAGGAAAAGTTAGAAGAGTTGATTGCCAGTCCAGATCAGTGATTTAAAAACTATGGGAGATTCACAGTCCTGAGTGTTCATTGGTAGGACTGATGTTGAAGCTGAAACTCCAATACTTTCGCCACCTGATGTGAAGAGCTGACTTATTTGAAAAGACCCCGATGCTGGGAAAGATTGAGGGCGGGAGGAGAAGGGGACGACAGAGGATGAAATGGTTGGATGGCATCACTGACTCAATGGACATGGATTTGGGTGGACTCCGGGAGTTGGTGATGGACAGGGAGGCCTGGTGTGCTGTGGTTCATAGGGTCTCAAAGAGTCAGACACGACTGACTGAACTGAACTGAACATCCAAGAATTGGCTTCATAGGTGGCACAGTGGTAAAGAATCTGCCTGCCAATGCAGGAGATGCAAGAGATGCAGGTTCTATCTTTGGGTCAGGAAGTAGGAAATGGCAGTAGGAAATGGCAACCTGCTCTAGTATTCTTGCCTAAAAATACCATGGACAGAGGAACCTGGCAGGCTGCAGCCCATGGGGTCACAAAGAGGTGGACATGACTGAATGACAGCACGCGCACACTAAGTCCCTCTGATTGGAAGATTGGAGGATTGGAGTCCAATTTAGATTTGTCTAAACACCAGTCAACAAATATTTGAGTGCCTCTTCTGTTTCATTTGAAAGTTTGAAAGCCAGTGTTTTCTTTTTTGCCTTGTGCTGAGAGCCAAGGACTGTGAGTCTTTGTCATCACCTTGGATAGTCCCAGTTGGAATTTGAGAAGCTCAAGCCAGGTGTTGGTAGTGGTGAAAAAAGGGCTGCAGTCCTCACCTGTTGGGTAGGGAGAGGGTGGAGTCCATGGCATGCACCTTGGAGACATCAAATGTAAGAATGTGCTGCCAAGAAAGTTTGGTTTAGTGCTTTGAATCTTTGAGCAAGTCATTCTAGATAATGTTGGACCTTGAAATTATTTTTAAAAACTGGAAAAGAATGACCTACTGTATTGGCATGTGAGGTCTGAGATGCCATGATATTGATGGTTTTCATTGGCTTCTCTCACTCAGAAGTCTCTGGCTGGCTTGGAAATTGCCTATGAACCTGTGGCTTAATCAGCTTCTCTCTTCTGCTGAGCACCTTTTTGTTGATTGTTAAGGAAATGGCATCTCACTCCAGTATTCTTGCCTGGAGAATCCATTGAGCAGAGAAGCCTGGCAGGCTACTGTCCATAGGGTTGCAAGAGTTGGACATGACTAGTGACTGAACCACCACCACGATTTGTGTGCCTGTTGTGTATTTCCCACATTGTTTCAGAAAGTTATTAAAGTGGCTTTACCTAGTTCCTTTACTTTTTTTTTTTAAGAGATAAGGTTGAGATTCATTTAGCAGCTATTCTCTTGGTTTTGGATTATTCATGTGTTTTAAGTTATTTGGACTGCTGCCATCTCCTGTGACCTAAGATGGTGTCTAAAATGGGCTTGAGGAAGGAATCTTGTCTGAATTAGAAGAGGGGGAAACCACTCATTCACCTGTGAATTTTGAAGTAATTCAGTTCTTAAGCATTTAATCTAAGGAACTAATTTATTTAATAACTTAGCATTTTGAATTTGAGGTTCAGTCCAGTTCAGTTGCTCAATCATACCCGACTCTTTGTAACCCAATGGACTGCAACACGCCAGGCCTCCCTGTCCATCACCAACTCCAAGAGTTTACCCAAACTCATGTCCATTGAGTCAGTGATGCCATCCAACCATCTCATCCTCTGTCGTCCTCTTCTCCTCGTCCCTTCAATCTTTTCCAGCATCAGTGTCTTTTCAAATGAGTCAGCTCTTCGCATCAGGTGGCCAAAGTATTGGAGTTTCAGGTTCAACATCAGTCCTTACTGACCTGCATACAGATTTCTCAGGAGGCAGGTCAGGTGGTCTGGTATTCCCATCTCCTTCAGAATTTTCCACAGTTTATTGTGATCCACACAGTCAAAGGCTTTGGCATAAAGCAGAAATAGATATTTTTCTGGAACTCTCTTGCTTTTTTGATAATCCAGCGGATGTTGGCAATTTGATCTCTGGTTCCTCTGCCTTTTCTAAATCCAGCTTGAGCATCTGGAAGTTCACGGTTCACGTATTGTTGAAGCTTGGCTTGGAGAATTTTGAGCATTACTTTGCTAGCTTGTGAGATGAGTGCAATTGTGTGGTAGTTTGAGCATTCTTTGGCATTGTCTTTCTTTGGGATTGGAATGAAAACTGACCTTTTCCAGTTCCCATGGCCACTGCTGAGTTTTTCAAATTTGCTGGCATATTGAGTGCAGCACTTTCATAGCATTATCTTTTAGGATTTGAGATAGCTCAACTGGAATTCCATCACCTCCACTAGCTTTGTTTGTAGTAATGGGCTTCCTGAGGCCCACTTGACTTCACATTCCAGGATGTCTGGCTCTAGCTGAGTGATCACACATCATGATTATCTGGGTCATGAAGATCTTTTCCGTACAGTTCTTCTCTGTATTCTTGCCACCTCTTCTTAATATCTTCTGCTTCTGTTAGGTCCATACCATTTCTGTCTTTTATCGAACCCATCTTTGCATGAAATGTTCCCTTGGTATCTCTAATTTTCTTGAAGAGCTCTCTAGTCTTTCCCATTCTATTATTTTCTTCTATTTCTTGCACTGATCACTGAGGAAGGCTTTCTTGTCTCTCCTTGTTATTTGGAACTCTGCATTCAAATGGGTATATCTTTCCTTTTCTCCTATGCTTTTCACTTCTCTCCTTTTCACGGCCAAAAGTTCTTTATGTATTGGTAAACTTTTCTGACAATTGTGATATTGAAATGGAAGTAAATTAGACATTGATAATAAGCAGAGCAAAAGAGAATGTAAGGATCATAATTTATGAAGCTTTAGGGAACTGAAGTTGTTTTTTTAAACCTGGAAATCATCTTAGAAGTCATCAAATCCAAGTCTAGGATATACAGGAGGCAACTGAGACCCTGTAAGTAATTTGACCAAAGTCATCCAGCTAATATATATAGGTGTAAGTAAAGTCATATGATATGAGGGTAGTAGAAATAATGACAATATGTTAATATCTCTTTAGATAGGAGAGCTTGTAAAACTTTGAGAGATGGATTGAGACTGTGACAGACCATTAGAAATAGAGGGGTGATGTGAAAGATGAATTACCCTTGAATTTCTGATCTGAATTTTAAACCTTTAATTGATTGGTTTGGTGGTGGCTGATGTGGAGGTTCAGTTAGTCATTTAATCATTTATTCATCAGGCATTTAGTGACTGTCTTCAATATTGTAGATTCTTAGCTAGATATTGGGGCTACAGATACGAATTAAACATGTCCTTCTACTCCTGGACTTCTTGTCCTCCTGGAATACAACCAGAAAGAATACTTTCTATTTTGTTTTGTCTCTCCCTCTCAAAAAAAAAAAAAAAAAACCTACTTGGTTATTAAGTTAGTGGCCTGCTGGTTTTATGACCTACAAATCACTGCTGTTTCTTTGCCTTACTATTTCTGTGGAATGCAGAAAATTAGGATCTGATCACACCAATAAGGAGGTTGTGTCTTGGGGTCTGGGGAGGTGTGATGAGGAAGTACCTGAGAATCATCCTTAGTGTTTAGGTTGTTTAGAAGCAGTAGTTTCTGGAGAGATAGTCACCCGAGCCACGCTGCTACCCTTGGGAACCCCACTTTTGGCGTTCCCCCCCGAGCAGGGGATGGTGGGTGTGCTGGGGCAGGTATGTGCCTGGTGGCTTTATGAGCAAGCCCTCTTCTGCAGAGAACTGTGAACCTGTCTGAAGCGGCAAGTTTTGGTGAGAAGTTGTTCTTCTCTTGGTTATGCTTTCTCAGCTGGGACTGCTAACTTTAGAGGAATGTGGATTGGTGCCAGGCTGACGGGTCGAGGACATAGTTCCTGCCAAAGTCAAGTCTGAAGAAGAGACCTTTTTCAGGTGAACTTACTTGGCAGTCATTTGTCCTGAATGGAGAAGAGCATGTTTCCTGGGTTCATGAAGTTAGTGGACAAAGATTGACCTTTGTTACGAACTCTTGGCATCTCTACCCTGCTTTGCATAATTGCAGAGTGCTTTATTTTGAGTGGTTTCAGGTATCCGTTTGCTCCTCCCATTTCCTCAGCTAGCATGAGAATACCAGTCAACTCGAAAGTTACTCAGTGTGTAGTATTCATTGATTCAGCAAATATTTACTGAGGGCTGGGTGCCAAGGACTGTGCCAAGGGGTACATGCTGGAGATACATTAGTGAATAAGACACACAAGCTCTGTACTTTCAAGAAACTTGTGTATTGGAGGAGGAGGCTAGACAGCAACTAATTAAAATAATTTCAAAGTATATTGAGTGCCTGTAAAGAAATAAACCAGGTGCTATGTTAGGGTATAACGAAGGTGGGAACTTCTTCAGGATGGGAGTTCGGTGCTGCCTTCCATTAGTTTGGACAAGCAAACTGAGGAATAGGAATAGAATACTCTAGAATGGCAGAGGAGGAGCATTATATAGGGGGAATGGTGAACTGTATGTAATGAATGGATGATAACTAGACTTGTGATGGTGATCACTGTAGTGTTTATAGATGTTGAACTATATTGCTGGGCACTTGAAACTTATGTAATAAAAGGGAAAACAACTAACGTTAATAAGGAATTAGGAAACCATATTACTCTTTATAGTAAATTCAGCTGATATGAATGAGCTGGAATAGTTTCCCCATTTGGTTAGGAAGCTGCTGATACTGGGCTATGATCATCCCGTTCCACTGTGAGTTAGGCCTTATGTGTTTATTCCCTCCTCAGGTGGAGGCTTGACTTTTGATCTATGTCCTCCCTACATCAGCTGCCTGAAAGTACTGAATGATCACATGACCCTGGACATGGATGCTGTCCTGTCGGATTTTGTCCGTTCCACAGGAGCAGAACCAGGATTGGCCCGAGATCTTCTGGAAGGTAAGGAGTCTGGGGGAGAATGAGAAGAGAGAAAGTAAAATGTGATATTTATTGTTAGGATAATTTGGAATGTAACGTGATCAGAACGATACTTTGTGTATGGTAGGCCTTACATTTAAGTTACTTCTAATAATCTATTTTTGTGTGACCCCCCCCCCATAATTTTAGAATGCAAAATTCCTTTTTCACCTTGAATTTTTGGGTAGCTTTTCACCACTGTCAATTTATGCTTAGGTAATACAAGTGAAATTTGAGATTAGTTCACTAAAAGCTTAATTTTAGGTTTGTAAGACTTCCTTTTTATATATAAATGACTTTGGATTTTCATATTTGGGATCATCCATATTTGTTTTTTTCTTTCCTTCCCTAACTTATATGGATCATTCTATATAGAGTGGATTAATTTAATGTTTTCATTTTGCTGCTTTTGTTTACTTATATCTGTATATACACGGAAGTGTGAATATTCTAAATTTTAAGATCATTTAAGCTTGGCATCGTGTCAGCAGGATTCTTTGTTTGGAGTCGTAGTTAACAGATGCTTTTTGATGATGAAAATACATAATGACACAGTTAGGTAAACATGTTGTGGAGGATGGGCCAGTTCTTAGTATACACAGGTAATTTTTTAGATCGTCAGTCCTTAGTAAGGTGTGGCAGTTTGACATTTACGTAGCTACCTGTGAGACTAGTGTTGATTTGGAAATGGAAGATCAAGGTTTAAATGGCTTTGCCCTTAATTTACATTTGCAGTTTCATCTCCTACTACTGTTTGCTATAGTGCCCGTGCTCCAGCCAGGCCTGACTTGTCACCTTTTCCTGATCATATTAAATTGTCTCCTAAGTCTGCAGTGTCCCTTCTTTCATTATTCTCCTGAAATTCTCATCCTTCTGGATTCAACTCATATGCCTTCTCTTCCACTTGGAGCATGTGTTGAACACTTCTATGTGTTTAGTGTGTGTGAGCTACTTGAAATATTTTATTCTCACAACCATTCTGCAAAATAGGTTTTATTTTTCCAGTATTCCAGTTTTAAAAAACCTGAGGTCCAAGAAGTGAAGGAGAGTTTGAACCTATGTGATCTGGTTTCAGAGTTGGGCTCTTAACAAGTATGTTACAAGTTAATGTTTGCATGCTGTCTCTCTTTCTGTCGAATACACATCCATGTACATGCACATTCATGCTGTGAAAGAAAAGTTGAGGGTTGAAAGAAAAGTTGAGGGTGCTGTGGAAGTTTAAGAGAGAAACCTAATTTAGATAGAGAGTGCAGAAAGGCTTTTCTGAAGAAGTGACATGTGAACTGAACCCAAAAGGATGCATAGGAATAGCAAGACAAAGTAGCTTATACAGGGACCCTAAAGTGAAAGAGTTTGGCACTGATAGTGATTGAGGTAGGAAGAGTGGTACAAGAAGGTGGTAGGTAGCTGGTTAGATGAGTGGAAAGCAGAATGCAGAGAGCCTTTGTAGGCTATGGTGAGGTGGTGCATTTCAGTGTATGTTCAGTGGGAAGCTTGTGGAGAATTGTACTCAGGGGAGTGAAATGACTGGATTTAAGTTTTTGAACAGGATACTGATTAAAGATAATGGAACTGACTGGAAGGTGGCCAGAAATGAAGTGGTAAAATCAGTTAAGAATATTGTCATAATTCAGGTGAGTGGTGATGGTGACTTGGACTACAGTGGTAATAGCAAAGTGATAAGTGGGTGGATTTAAGATATAATTTAGAAAGGGAACCAAAGGACCTGATCCTCATTTTCTGTCTCTTCCTGTCTTTTGCTTTTTCCTTTGAAGTTAACTCTGGTTATAGTGTAAAGAACAATTTATAGTGGGGAGGGACTAGCAGTAAAGAGACCAGAGAGCCACCTCCCAGAAGACCAAAGACTGGGTGACAGTATGAGGACTTGAATTGGGGCAGTGATGATAAAAATGGACAAGAAAGAATAGATTTGAGAGAGATTTTAGGGGTACAAACAGCCCTGAGAATCAAATAGATAGCAAGGGAAGAGGAAAAGTAGGGTCTGAGGAATGGTGAAGAGCTAAAATGATTCTAGTTTCTGGCCTGGAGGGGTTGAGATGCCATTCTTGATTCAAGGAATATAGGAGAAGAAGCAAGCTTTAGGAGGGAAGATGATGGACATTCAGGTTTAGTCATATTGACTGTTAGGAGGACTTGATTTTAAGCAGTTTAGCAGGCAGTTGGAAATAATGATCCATTGCTCAAGACAGATCATTTATTCATTCATTGGTGCAGGACAAAAGTCCTCCATTCTTCAACAGATATTTTTTGAGTACCTATTATGTGTCAAGTTCTAGATGCTTGAATAAAACAAAACAAAAATCTCTGCCTTTACATTCTAGAATAAGAGTCCATAAACAATAAACTTGATAACCAAACTAGATGGACCTTTGTTGGCAAAGTAATGTCTCTGCTTTTTAATATGCTATCTAGGTTGGTCATAACTTTCCTTCCAAGGAGTAAGCGTCTTTTGATTTACTATATTATAAAGTGTTAGGTGCTATGGAAAATGGTCGGGAATGGTGAGGCAGGTTGTGATTTTTAATTGGGTAGTCAGGGTAGGCCTTATTAACTTATTAAGTGTGTGACATTTGAGCAAATACCTAAAGGAGTTAAGGAATTGACTGTGTAGATATAATGGAGATAGAGCCTTCTAGACAGTGGGGATAGTTGGTGAAAGGCTGTAAGTGGGAGCAGTCTTAGCAAGTTTCTGGGACCAGCAAAGAGGCCAGTAGAAGAGTGAGCAAAAGGAGTTGGAGCAGATGGTGAATCTGAAGGTTCAGAAGTAAATTCATCCAGCATGGATGATTAATACGGCTTAACTGGAGAATTATAATTACAACAAGAAGCATAACAGCAATGGCAGTAAATACATGTATAATGCATTCCTTGTGCCAAACATTGTTTTAAGTGCTTTCAATTAATTTAACCTTAATAACAGCTCTATGTGGAATCATCTCCACTTTCATAGCCAGGGAACTTGAAGCACAGAGGAAAGATTAGAAAAGTAGGCCAGGTCATAGAAAGCCTTGAATGTCAAACAAAAGAGCCTGAGCTTTATTCTGTAGGCAATAGTGTATGCCACTAAAAAAATTTGATTATGGAACTAAAATGATTAGAATTGTTCTATAGAAAGATTCATCTCATGGGACCCTTCAGAATAGATTGGAGGTGGCACTAGGTGATACAGGAATTGAATTAAGGTGGTGACAAGTGAAATAGAGCAGAAAGAAGTGTGAATAGTTACTTGTTTATTGGCTAGTTTAACTGGAGAAAGCAATTTTAAAAGTCAGTGGTAACAGATCTATCATTTGAGTCTACTGATAGTCTGTCCCCTCTATAATTTGTTCTTTACACTACAACCAGAGTTAACTTTCAAAGGAAAAAGATTAGTGATTCTTAAGTTTGAGGGGAATTAACAATTCCCTTGGATAGCCTGATGGCAGCTATCAGCTCTTTCTTTAGAAAAATACACATACCTATAACTTTGTGTACAACTTCAGGTGACTTATGACACCCCAGAGCACATCTAAGCTCAGAACTCTCTGGATCTCAGAACTCGGAGACTTGGGCTTGTGTCCTGCTGAGGCCCTGGTGCAAACTAGCTGTGACTTTGGGCAAGTAACTCTACTTCTTAAGACTTGCTTTGTCTGTAAAATAACATTACTAGGTCTCCAAGGGCCTTTTCAGTTCAGAGAGACCAATGTTCTGTGCTCATGGAGCTTTCTTAGGAAACAAACAGCAAGTAAATAAAGAAATTGCGGTATTTCAGACTGAAGTGTGTTGAAGGAAATTAGAGTAGGGGAAGGAAAAGGAAGACCGGAGTGTGCATGAATATATGCTTGCTAGTTTCAGTAAGATGCTTAGAATGATGGTTCTGTGTCTTTCCTCAATTTTCCTGTACTCTTAGCACCCAATTCACTTTTTGTTTTGTGTCCTGACAGGAAAGAATTGGGATGTGAGTGCTGCCCTCAGTGATTTCGAGCAGCTACGTCAAGTCCATGCTGGGAACCTGCCCCCACCCTTTAGTGAAGGGAGTGGTGGCTCCAGGACCCCTGAGAAAGGGTTTTCTGATCGAGAGTCTGCTCGCCCTCCCCGGCCCACCCTACAGCGGCAGGATGACATCATTCAAGGTATTGGGGTACCGAGGGCCGTTTCTTATATGGAGTAGGAAGGAAGGGAGACAGCTGCTAACCAGTCAGAATTTTGTGATCCTTTGGAAATGATTCCTTTCGTCTTCCACCTCCCCAGTCAAATGATCAGAGGTGACCTCAGTCCTCCAGCTGCTGGAACCCCTCATTGTTTGTATCTGGAGTACTGTCCAGGATAAAAGCTTTCTTCAGATACTATGAGAGAGAGAAGAAGGGTAACAATCTCATTGTCAAGATAAAGTACACAGAAAGATAGAATTCAAAGGATCACTATCACCTACCCTTTTGGAGGGCATTTTGTTAATATTTATTAGTATCTGTCAAAATTTTTAAATGCATGTATACTCTGTCTCAGCAATTTTGTTTCTAGGAAGATTTTATCATGTGTATGTGTGTGTATCTGTGTGTGTGTATCCTTTTAAATAAATACATACATAATTCATAAGTAGACACAAAGACATGTAATGTAAAGCTTGAAAGTTAAAGCCTGAAAACAACTTTTAATACCCATTAGTAAAGGAGTGGTTAAATAAATGGTAATCATCCATATTGTGGGATACTTTGCAGCCATTAGAAAGAATTAAGTAGAACGTGATGGAACTTGTTTAGAAAAATCTCTTTAATCTATTGAGAAAGGTAAGATGCAGAACAGTATAGTATATTCCTGTTTATGTTTTTAAAATTATTATAAAAGCTATATGCACTTCTATGTGCATAAAAAAATTGTACAAGGATACAGAAAGTCCCCTTTAGGGAGGGGATCAGGAATTTTGAATGACAGGGAGATTTCTTTTTAACACTTTAAACCTTTTGGTAGTAGTTTTTATTTTTTACACGGGCAAGCGATACTTTTAAAACACCTTAAAAAAGAGCTTAAAAAACAACATCACTATAGAATAGCATTAGACTGACTCTTACTTTATGCATCATCCCTGGCAAACACTGGATTAAAATCTGCTACACAATATGATTTTTAGGTTTTTTGATAGTCTTTATATAACTTAGGCCATGCAAATGAATTGTAATACTATACTGAGCAAGTTACAATCACAATGGAATATCTGCTGGAGAATTATAAGTGCCATGTATTCAAGACAAATTAAATAATTTGGGGGGCACTGTCTGTATTACTGCCTTCCTCTGTTAAGTAAGAATTGACTATACCTGTAAATTTCTGATAAATGTATCAAGAAAAGTTGTAGTAAATAGTGTAAGTAAATGTTACTGATGGTAGATAAGAAAGTTCCTGAATGTGTAAGATTTGTCATTAATTTTTTGTTTTAAAAAATTTATTTAATTTTTAAAATTTATTTAATTTTTTAAATAAAATTTATTTATTTAAAAATTTTTTTCATTTATTTTTAATTGGAGGATAATTGCTTTACAATGTTGTGTTGGGTTTTGCTGTACAATGTGAATCAGCTATAAGTATACATATGTCATTAATTTTCTATAATGGAAATCCTTTTTCTACATTCTCCCAAGACCCTGAAAATTATCAGCAAGATTATTTGACTCAGTCTGTTGATAGCCAAATGGAATTCTGTTTCTCTTATCCCCTCTTCCTCTCACCAAACAATGACCAAGTTGCCAAATGAATAGGTCCCTATTATGTTGTGAAATGGAAGCGGAAGAAGACAGTGTCATGGGGAGAAGTTCAGGCAAATTCCAAAAAGGGTAGAAAGAGGAATGTATATTTGGTGCTAATGTGAGTGCCTGAGAAAATGCCACTTTGTATATTTCACAATTATATTTGGCATGAGAAAGAGGGTCGTGAAATTTGGTAGCCAGTTAGACTTACAGTTTTTCCCTGAGTGGAAACCTTGTCAAGAGGTAACTATCACCACATGGGCGGAAAGTTCTTTGAGTGGGTTTTGTATGTTCTAAGGTGACTCCATTTCTCATTGCAGAAAAACGCCTGTCTAGGGGCATCTCCCACGCCAGCTCCAGCCTTGTTTCCCTGGCCCGGTCCCATGTCTCCTCCAATGGTGGGGGTGGGGGGAGCAGTGAGCACCCCCTGGAAATGCCCATCTGTGCCTTCCAGCTTCCAGATCTCACTGTGTACAATGAAGACTTTCGCAGCTTCATAGAGAGAGACCTCATCGAGCAGTCCATGCTGGTTGCCTTGGAGCAGGCAGGTCAGTGAGCGCTTCCTTCCCCGTGCTCCACCCCTCTGCCGAGGGGCCGGGCTTGACCAGCAGCTTCCAGTCTAAGCCTGTGATCTGATTGATGGCAGTCAAACTCAGTGGTCAGTCAGAGAGACATGTGCTGAGCTAGGCACTTCTTCAAGTTAAAGAAAGGACACGAACAGGATACTTGGCTCTGGAAATTTCCTGTTTGATGGAAGGGAAACCAGATATACATGTGAAAGGCCTAGGAATCAATACCTAAAAATCAATACATTAAAAAAAAAAAAGTGAATTATAATTGGCTCTGGAGCACCTTGTGAACAGAAAGAACCAGTGTTGTAGACGATACACAGTGGTGATTAACTAAGTCACATTTATTTATATAAACCTTTCCCAAAAGATTTATTTACCTTTACAATTATGTTTGTCTTAAATTATTGTTAAAATTAGTTGGTATAATGGATGAGGCAGCTGAGATTTCTGGGAAACCTAGTCAGGTATTAACTCCCATGGAAGAAGGACTGGGGGATGGGAGTTGGGGGCATGGAAAAGAAGCTCTTATTTTTCATTTTGTACCCTTCCATACTAATCATGCACATCTATTTATAATTTTTAAGTAGTTAGCCATTTGTCTGGTATGATTATAGGCCAGTTTTTCTTTCAGTAGACATTTCAGTAATTGAAGAACATTTTTAAGCATCATTCATACAATATTTTCCTTATGTAAGTAACAGGTTGACAATTGTAGGATGACTACAGAACTGAGACTCATTTTCTTAGGTGTTTTAAGTACTTCTTATTGCTCGTGTCTTTAAAATCATACCACATGCATGCTGACATGCTTACTGTGATATATGCAGATGATACTTGCATGACACTTTGAATATATGTGTTGGGTTGATTTTCTTTTACTGATGATTGATTTGTGCTGATCTTTATTGCTACAGTGTTTGCTGGTCTTCTGACCAGAGTGAAGGAATCAGAGCCAAACTAGGTCACCAACACAGATTTCAGTCTATGAGCTTGGCCTCATCATCCATCGCAGGGTTGTTCAATCTTAGCATTATTGACATCTAAGACCAGATTATTCTTTGTTGTGTGAGCTGCCTTGTGTATTATGTTTAGCAGCCTTTCTGGCCTCTATTTACTCGATGTCAGTAACATCCCCCTCACCAATCGGGACAACCAAACATATTTCAGGATGTTGCCATATATCCCTTTGGGGACAAAATTGGCCCCACTTAAGAACCTCTAATCTAACCAATTATACCCACCAGATTCTGATGAACCAGATATAAGTGAAGAAGATACACAGAGTAATAGAGTGGTGGTTTGATTCTAGGTAGGCTTTCTAGAAGAGGCAAGCTTGGAGTCTTGTATTAGAAGTAAAAAAGTGGAGAGCTTTATGGATAACCTGCTCATCTCCCTTTCCTCATGTTTCTGTAGGGCGTTTGAACTGGTGGGTGAGTGTGGACCCCACCTGTCAAAGGCTCCTTCCTTTGGCAACTACTGGAGATGGAAACTGCCTCCTGCATGCAGCCTCTCTTGGTGAGTTATGAGAATGGCCCTTCATTCCCTCACAGAAAGGAAGCAATAGTTAAATCGAATGTGAAGACTTGAGCCAACCAACCTTGATCTTAGAAATGATGGCTCAGAGCAAGGTTGTGTGTATGTGTGTGTGCTGGTGCAGGAGAAGATAAAAGAGAGCCCTGTCCTGGTTGTTCAGTCTTGTTGAGAAATTGTATGGAGAGCACAGGATTTAGCATAAGTCCCACTCAGAGAACTGACCCCTAAAAGTAATGAACAGCAGAAAGCAAGTAGTATACTGTTTGTGTATGTATATAATTCTACTTAATATTCATTTTTTTGGTATATAAAAAAGATATGTTTTCATCAGACCCCTATGAAACTTGTTTTTTTAATATTATTTTTAATTAACCTTTATTTAATGTACCTTTTATTTTTAATTTTTACTTAGAGGATAATTGCTTTACAATATTGTATTGGTTTCTGCCGTACATCAATATGAATCAGCCATAGGTATATGTATGTCCCCTCCCTCTTGAACCTCCCTCCCACTTGCCACCCTATCCCAGCCCTCTAGGTTGTGTATGTCTAATCTGGAATAATGTATTTTTCTTTTTGTTTCTTTTTTTTTTCACTCCCAGTTGTGTTGATGTAATTGACATACAGCACTGTATAAGTTTTAAGATATACAGCATAGTGATTTGACCTGCACACATTATGAGATGATTACAGTAAATTTAGTGAACATCCATCATCTCATAAAAAATTAAAGAAATAGAAAAGAAAATTATTTTTTCCTCATCATGACAACTTTTAGGATTTACTGTCTTAACTTTCATGTCTAATGTACAGCAGTGTTAATTGTATGTATCATGTTGTACATTACATCCTTAGTACTCAGTAGTCTTAGTCTTGTATATATGGAACTTTGTACCTTTTAACTACCTTCATCCAATTCTCCCTGCTCTCACCCCCTGCCCTTGGTAACCACAAATCTGATGTCTTTTTCTGTGAGTTTGTTTTTGAAGTATAATTGACCTATAACACTTGTATCCTGGCACACAGTGTGGCGATTCAAATATTTCTATACATTTCAAAATAATCACTGTGTTAAGTCTAGTTACCGTCTGTCACCATACAAAGATATTGCATAATTATTGACTTGTTTACTTTAAATTGTTATGTGTATTTAAAATTCAGTATATTATTTGCCTTAGTTTTTTAAAAAAGTGTCCCCATTTTCCGGCCATTCCTCAAGCTTTGATGCTGATTGCCATGTGCCAGACCCATCTTGTCTGCTGCTACTCTGTGTTTTACTTATTTTTTAGCTTTTTAAAAAAATTTTCTGAGCCATGTGGCTTACAAGATTTTAGTTCCCCATCAGGGAATTGAACCCAGGCTCTCAGCAATGAGAGTGTGGGGCAGTGAGAATATGGAGTTCTTAACCACTGGACTGCCAGGGAATTCCTACTCTGTATTTTAATTTGTTAGACTTGGTATCAAGAGTAAAGGCTTTCTGGGACTTCCCTGTTGGCCCAGTGGTTAAAGACTTCCCCTCCCAATGCAGGGGGTGCAGGTTCGATCCCCGGTTGGGGAGCTAAGATCCCACATGCATCATGGCCAAAAAACCAAAACAAAACAGAAGCAATGTTGTAGTGAGTTCAATAAAGACTTTAAAAAGTCTTCTTGTCAGGAGTTTGTAGGATGTGGTCTATCCTCTGCTTTTAGGCTCTCAAGTTTCTGAGCCTCTAGAGTAGGAACATCTTTTCTTTCCTGATCACCTTTCTCCTGAGTTACAGGGGGTTTCTTTGAACCTGGGCTTCAGGCCTGATATCCTTCATGCCAGAATCTGTATATCATAATTAATAAGTGGAGTTGAGTCAAGGTAAGGTGTCTTGAAAGTGAAAGTGTTTGTCACTCAATTGTGTCCGACTCTTTGTGACCCCATGGACTATAGCCCGCCAGGCTCTTCTGTCCATGGATTTCTCCAGGCAAGAATACTGGAGTGGATTGCCATTTCCTTCTCCAGGGGATCTTCCTGACTCGGGGATTGAATCCATGTCTCCCGCATTGCAGGCTGACTCTTTACCAGCTGAGCCACCAGGGAAGCAATGTAAAAGGTGTCTTAACCATTATGTTTTCTTGCCATAGGGATGTGGGGTTTCCATGATCGGGACTTGGTGTTGCGGAAAGCTTTGTATGCACTGATGGATAAGGGAGCTGAGAAGGAAGCATTAAAACGGCGCTGGAGGTGGCAGCAAACTCAGCAGAATAAAGAGGTCAGGAAGCTTGGGTGGGAGCACCTTGTTTCCCAAAGTTATGTAAGGGAATGCTCAGTGCCTGCCATAGGAAATGTCTCCTGTTTAGGTGCTCTTAGGTCAGTGTTACTCTTAACAATCCTTTTGAAAATTCAGATACCACCAGAGGGTACATGCCTTCTGATAAGAGTTATGAGAACTGGTGTGGCGGGGACCTGTAGAGGAGGTATCTAATGCTGTGCTTTTCCTGATAAGGCACTCAGTAAACCTTTAGTGACTGTCTTTTGCAAAATGAAATACAAGCTTGTAGGATTTTTGTATTGTTTTGGTTTTTTAATTATAATAAGACTAGACCAATTTTTAAGGACTTGTGTTTTCAACTCTTATTAATACAAATGTGTAAAAAAAATTTGGGGCTGTATGTACCATTTGTTTTTCGTAAATTCAGTTTGCTTGTTAAAAAACTGTAAAAGGATGAGTTTGAATGTTTTATTATTATTAGAATTTCATGTTCTGAAGATTTAAAACATGGAAATAGAATGTCTTATGTTTCTCAAAAATGAACTCAATTGTTAAAATTAAGATGCTATTAAGATCAGAGAATCTGATCTTTGATCAGCCAGTCTGCCTCAGAAGATTCCTAAGGGAAATGAATGTGCAGGGTCAAGGCCAAGTAAACAGCATTCTTTATTGACACCAAACCCCATGGCTTTCTGGTGAGCTGAGCAGGACTTTGTGGAGTTTTTTTTTTTTTTTTTTGTCTGAGCTAGAGCCAGCCTAGAGTTTGTCTTCTTCACTGTTGAATTCACACTATACCTGAACCTTAGATTTGACTACTTCAGACAGGAAAAGGCCAAACCAGATCCTGCCATTTAGTTAAGCAGACATGACAGCCACAGTCAGAGGATAGATACCAATTCCAGCTATATTAAGCTATTTATAGTTATTATTTTAAAGGTGGGGTTAGGAGCTTCCCTGGCAGCTCGGTGGTAAAAAATCTGCCTGCCAATGCATGAGACACAGGTTCGATCCCTGCTCCGGGAAGAGTCCACCTGCCTCAGAGCAACTGAGTTCATGAGCCACAACTACTAAGCCAGCACTCTAGAGCCCAGGAGCAGCAACTGCTGAAGTCCACGTGCCCCTGAGTCAGTGCTTTGCAACAAGAGAAGCCACCACCGTGAGAAACCTGTGTACCACAACTAGAGAGTAGCCCCCGTCGCTGCACCCAGAGAAGGCCCACACAGCATCAGAGACCCAGCACAGGCGAAAAATAAAATAGAGGTGGGGTTAGATGATGATGATAGTAAGCCAGGAGCCTCCGAAATTCCGAAATTCTCTTCTTGGTCAGCCACCTTTTCCCTCTCAAAGTCCCCAAATGGAAATACATGCCTTGTGAATAGTAGATATTGAAAGAGTAGTCTTTTTACTCCTTTTGCTCAGCACGTTGAAAGTTCCATATGGAAATGAGCTAATTCTTTTAGCTCAGACGATTTATAGCACTATAGTGGGGGTGGGGAAAGGGAGATGTGCTGGGGAGCTACTTTTAGCCAGTACCAAACACCAAACAAATTAAATTGGTTTTGATTTCCTAGGCCTCCCTGTTTTGTTGTTGAAAATGGTGGTAAAACCCAGTAAGAACATTTTCAGCCTAGAAGGGTACACCACCTAGTGGCTGTGTGTATAAAAACAGCAAGGGAGAATAGGTGAGAGGAAGGAGACAGTCTCATGAATGTGTATCAGGGAGCACTTATCAGAGTGAACAGAGCGCCCATATATAAACTGTTCATTCTTCTTACTTTGAGTTGAAAGAAAAAGTTACAGAATTATACAAATTGAAAATAGCTTTGTTATGTTTTTGTTGTTGTTTCTATTATTAACGTATGCTCACAATAGCTCTTTAAGTCCTTTTACATTTGTTCTTCTACTTCTCATGTTTCTAGTGTCATTCTTTCTCCTCTGTCAATGTGTGTTTAAAGCGTAAACTTGGGACTTCTCTGGTGGTCCAGTGGCTAAGACTTCGAGCTCACAATGCAGGGGCCCCGGGTTTGATCCCAGGTCAGGGAACTAGATCCCATGTGCCGCAACTAAGAGTCTGCATGCTGCAATGAAGATCAAGGATCTTGAGTGCTGCAACTAAGACCCAGTGTAGCCAAATATAAATAAATAAATATTTTAAAAAATAGTATAAACTTTTTTAAACACTTGGTCAAATACAATTAACAGGATAGACTTTCTTCCAAACCATCATATACATCCTAAAGCCAATATAATATTTTAAGATTATTTGTACTACTTCTTCCACTCCTTTGATAAAAATTATAGTTTTACTGAGCATGTATTTATTGACTATTGATCACATGGTAAGCACTAAGCATATTGCTTAAAACATGGTCCTGGCTTTTCAGAGTGGTAATAGGAGATGGACATGTAAGTATATGATTACAGCAAAGTAACCGGTCATGACTCCTGTGATAGAAGTCTGTGTAGCAGCTCAGCAGGGAGGGCACAAAGGAAGAAGTGCGTGGTTGATGGACCAGGGCGATTTAGGAAAGGCTTCATAGAGGAATGGTACTTGAGTTCTTTCCTGACAGTTGAGAGATTGTTCACCAGGTGGATGTGGAGTGGGCTATCTCAGGCAGAAGGCTGTCGAGGCAAAACCTAGACAAAAGCTCAGAAGTATAAAAGGACATGGTGCATTCAAGGAAGTATGACTAATTAAATGATGTTAGAGGGGTAAGTCACAGCCCAGGAAGTGGAGTCTTTATGCTGTGCTTAAAGAGTTTGCACTATTATCTAATAGATAATAACAATTCTTAAAAGAATTTGTAGCAGGAAGCAAACATCATCAGATTTTAATTTTAGAAAAATCTTTCTGGTAGCATTGTAGAAAATGGATCATAACAATATATGACTAGAAGTAGTGGAACCAGCATCTATTACAATAGCTCATGCTTAATAATTACTGACTAAAGGGATCCAGGTGTGGGATGGGCGAAAGGAGAGGAGTCATCAGTAACTCCCTGGTAGTTCTAATTGGGTGTTTGAGTGATAGTGTTGCTTACAAAGGTTGGAAAACAGGAAGAGTAAGTTTTAGAAGAGGTAGAAGTTCCAGAGTGTAAGGTAGTCATGGGCAGGTGACAGCCTTCAGTAGGCTGCTGGATGTGAACATAGAAATGAATGGGAAGTCTGGGCTGGAGAGGAGGATAGCTGAGTCCTGAGCATGTAGATAGAAGTAGATGAGATTATAATAGTAGAAGAGAGAACCTGGATAGAACAGGGCTAAAATTATTTGACACAACATCAATATTTTTAAGATAGAGTTCAGAGAGGTTGGAGAAAGTAGTGTTTTGTGAGCTGAAGGAAAAGAAGGTTTAAGGGGGAGATAAATGCACATGAATGCTGAGAAAGATGAGAACTGAAGAGTTCACTGAATTTGGCCAATTAGAATGTCACTGTCTTTAGCCAGAGTCAGTTAGGGGAAGTAGTGTGTAGGGGTAAGGGCATAGGCTGGAGGGCAGAAACAAGCTGGATTACAGTGGGTTGGAAAGAAGAAGCGTGAGGGTGATCATAGACTATTCTTTCATGAATCTTGACTATAAAAGGGAGAAGAGACTGGACTTTGTAGTACAAATTGTAAGAAAAGTGCTTACAAATTATAAGACAGGAGCATAGAGTGGAATAACATGAGTGAGTTGGAGTGGCCATTCCCTTTTAACTTAGCCTCTAACTGCTTAATATACCTTGCCTGTCTTTCACACAGTCAGGGCTGGTATACACAGAGGACGAGTGGCAGAAGGAATGGAATGAACTGATCAAGCTAGCCTCAAGTGAACCCCGCATGCATCTGGGTACCAATGGAGCCAACTGTGGTGGGTAAGTATATCTAACTGGAGGAGGAGAAAGTAATCTTTGCTGAGTCCTCAGTGTCCAGAGAGTTCTGTCCTAAGAGGGTGTTAAACAGAAAGACAGGAGAGAAGCCATGACAAGGGCAAAGAAGGGTGAGACAGCATGGTATGTCCTAGGAACCACAGGTAGTTCAGTATCGCCAGAATACAGAGTATGGATGCTGAGTGACAGATGAAGTAGGCAGTCCAGATTTTTGTGTGCCATCCTGAGGAATTGAAATTGTACTGTATCCAGACTTTGGGAAACTGCAGGACAAGTGACTTGGTTTCCTCAATAAATAAAGGCAAAGAAAAGAGAAAGAACCCAAGTTTAAAGACACCTAAGAGTCGCATCAACCTGTTGGAATGTATGGATATGTATAAGACAACTGGGGAAATGTGAATAATGTCTACATTACTGTTAGGTTTTTAAAGTGTGATATTGGTGGGATTATGGTAGTTTTTAAATTATGATATTGATGGTATTGTGGACATCTTTAAAAATAGTCTTTATTTTTTAGAGATTGAAGCTGAAATATTCACGGATGAAATTATATGATATCTAGGATTTGCTCCAGAATAATCTGGTGGGGTGGAGTGGGTGTAGGGGCTGATCCCTAGGGAAATATATCAAGGTCTAGTTGTTGAACAAGATTGACCATGTATTTATGATTATTGAGGTTGAATGATGGATATATGAGAGTTTAGTGTACTATTCCTTCTAGTTTGAGTATGTTTAAAATTAAAATTTTTTTCTAAAGTAAAAAGTTAAAAAATATGACCTATCCAAACTTTATTGTGTATAAGTGTAATTTGGGCAGTCTGTTTAAAATGCAGGATTTTGGACCTCCACCCTAGGGAAGTATGGTTGCATTGCCCAGAAATCTGCATTTGTAGCAAGCACCCAGTGTTGAATGAGATTGGTTTAGGGGGCAGGAAGCCACTCAATTGTGAATATGTGAGTGACAGGAGCAAATTGATGTATTTGAGCACAGTGGCAGCCAAATGGCTGATGAAGTGGAGGGGGGTAGTAGTGATCCAGGAAAGAGGGGACACGGATATGAGCACGAGTGGTGGCTGCAGATATGCCAGAGGAGACACTTAAAAGATGGAATTGGTCGGGCCAGGTGATTAACTGAAGATGCAATATAAAGAACAGTAAATATTTCACAGATTTCTGATTAAGCTACTAAGTATTAGCCAATAGATGGGTGAGGCTGTTCTTCTTCAAGTAAGGGAGCATCACGAAGGGATTTTTGTTCTCTTTCCTTTTTCGTTTTTCTTTTTTGATAGGACATGATAAATGTGATGTGTGGGTGGTTGTGGTGGGTAAGGTAATAAGCAGAATGAGGCTACACAGTTGTATATTGAACTACTAGATAGAGAGTAGGGGAAGGTTGTTGAACCAGATAGGTATTAAGAGAGATTACTTCCCAATTCTGAGCACTACTTTAACCCTCAAACCTTCACATTTCTTTTCTTGAATTTCCCAGTCTGTGAAATGGAGGTAGAAATAGCCACGCTAGCATAAAATAATCAGCTGTGTCTATGGCAGCCTTCAGAATGGAAAATAGGAAATGGACATTTTTTTTCCTCTTTGCAGAACTGGTCTTCAGGGGTCTCTTGATTTGTTTTCTTCCCTCTCCCTTCCACTGCATCCCTTCCATTCTCTCCCCTCCTACAACTCTAGGGTGGAGAGTTCAGAAGAGCCCGTGTATGAGAGTCTAGAAGAATTCCACGTCTTTGTCCTTGCCCATGTGCTTAGGAGGCCCATAGTCGTCGTGGCAGACACCATGCTGAGGGACTCTGGTGGGGAAGGTGAGCCAAGCAGCCCTGTCTGCACGGGGGATATATGACCCTCGGGGAAAAACACGGTGTCAATTAGAACAAAGCACAGTTCTCACAGAGTCAGTAAAGCTGCTGCTGCTGAGTCACTTCAGTTGTGTCTGACTCTGTGCGACCCCATAGACCCCATAGCCCACCAGGCTCTGCCGTCCCTGGGATTCTCCAGGCAAGAGTACTGGAGTGGGTTGCCACTGCCTTCTCCACGAGTAAAGCAGTTGAGGTTAATTGATGAAACTTCTTAGGAAAGAATTGTTAAACACAGGTTGGACTGAAAGGGGGGCTCAATTGACAGAGTTGGATGGAGAGATTTCCCACTAGGCAAGAATATAGCCATAACAATAATCTGTGATTTCCTGCAGCATTCGCCCCTATTCCCTTTGGGGGAATCTACCTGCCCTTGGAGGTTCCAGCCAGCCAGTGTCACCGCTCCCCTCTGGTGCTCGCCTACGATCAGGCCCACTTTTCTGCACTTGTGTCCATGGAGCAGAAGGAGAATGCCAAGGAACACGGTGCGGAATGCAGTGTCTGGGTCTCTGGTGTCTTTTGGTCTGCTTTATTTTCACTTAGAAGAACTGAAATGAGAGAGGATGGAGGAGGAAAGAACTGAGTGACATGCAAGCCCAGACAGAGCATGTTGATGCTGTTTTCTTAAGCTCTAAGATAAACAGAGTTTTGTTTTTTAAAAAAAAGGTTCGGGGGGAAACTCAGCCTGTGTTCCCTGATCTGGAGTAAAAAAGCTTATACATTAAGGTCAAGAACTTTCCAAATGATGCTTTGCTCTATTTGCCTTAATAATGACTTTGAATTCCCTGAATTCACTTTAATTGGCAGGAACATCATGGGTGCTAGCTTACTGGTGGGAAGTCATGGAGATGAGTGGCCTAAATTGTGTTCTGAGTAATAAGGGAAACCCTGCCTGTTATTTTTTTCTGCTAAGACAATTCATCATTAAGAACTGAGATGTGACTACAGTTAAGAGATCTTTGGTATGATTCAGCTGCCTTTTTCCTGGAGTCAGTCTGTGTTCAGTTGCCTTCATCCTTCCTCAAGAAGACTCCTTGATCGTATGTGTGTTTCCTCCCCAGCTGTGATCCCACTTACAGATTCAGAGCATAAGCTGCTGCCTTTGCACTTTGCTGTGGACCCTGGAAAGGGCTGGGAGTGGGGCAAAGATGACAATGACAATGTCCGATTGGCGAGGTGAGGCACGCCTAGCCTTTCCATCTGCTTTGTAGCTGCGATCTCTTCCACATGCCATGTCCGTCTCCCGGGGATTTTCCTCAGCTCAGGGGCGGAGATGGCCACATCCTAGTTCCAGTGTCTTTGGGAAGACGGAGAGGTGGGAGACATATTGGGCACCTGGACTCTTGCCACTGCTTTTTCCTCCCATGAAACGGAAGGGAATCCTGGGATCTGTTTATAGCGTGAGGAGTGTTCTTACAGAATCCCCAGGACAGTGGTCAGAGAATCGAGATGATCAGATCACACTTCTCCCAGCCCAAACGAGAAGGGTTTTAAATAGCTGACCAAAATCATTTGCTCTAGACTTTTGCATTTTTTTAGGGAACTTAAATGGCAAGAAAAATATGTTCTCCCCACCACCACCCCCATTTCCCTGAAGTTGGCTTCCTCCTACTTCCAGAGCTTTCTGTGAAGAGCTTAGGAGTGTAAAAGCTCCTTCCTCACCTCTTATCCAGTGCTGCCTTCTTTGGGCTCCTGAAACTGGAGCCAACTGGGAAGATTGCATTAAAAAAAAAAAGAGTTTATGACTTTTTAAGTAAGTTCTCACCTAATTGTCAGAAGCGCCTTCTAAGTAATAAAGCAACAATAATAGTGGGTACTGTTTATTTCCTATTTTCCAGGCCCTGAGCTGGGCCCTTTCTCAATACTATTTTAATCTTCACAACAGCCCTACAGGATAGATACTATTATCTATACTCATTATCAGCCCCTACTGAGTTTCAGGGAGGTTGAAGTGACTTGCTCAAGGTTATAAAGCTTAGTAATTGGTGCAGCCATAATTCAAATTAGCCCTGAGTTCTCAGCCATGTAGCCTTCTCCCACCCTGCCTGCCAACTGGATTACACTGCTTTGCTGTTTAAAGGCCAGAGTTCTTTGAAATTCTTTTTTTTCTCCTTTTCACAGTGTAATCCTATCCCTAGAGGTCAAATTGCATTTGCTGCATGGCTACATGAACGTGAAGTGGATCCCAGTGTCCTCCGATGCACAGGTGAGGCTTCTTCCACTCCACCCTGGCGTGTCCTCCTTTTCATGTCAGGGAGAGCAAGGAAATCTGGTGGTGGTCTCCTTCCGAGTCTCTTCCAGATAGTGGCTTACGATTCAGTATCAGGAATAACTGGAAAATACCAGAGAAATTCCAAAAGAGACTTTTCCTGCCTTTCTGCCTGTTAATGCCCTTTGTTTTCTACACCTTCTCACCAACCAGGCTCTGCTTTCTGATGCTAAACACATTCTTCAGGAAAAGTTTTCTTGAACTTGAGATTGTTATCACTTTATTCTAAGCCCTCTACATAGACCTCTGTGTTGGGCACTAGAAGAGATAGAATAGCTTAAAGAGCTCCTGATCCAGTAGGTTCTGAGGATGTCATTATCCACAGAACAGGAACACAGGAACAAGGGCCGACTGATGGACTCTGGTGCTGAATGTCTGAAAGTGGATGCAGAATGGTTAAGACTTGGGGTGTTTATTCAAAACTTCCTTGACATTAACTTTGGGCAGAATCTGGCATAGAGAAATTTATAATAAACGCCATTCTAGTGTCTACGGAATATTCTCCCACCTTACCCAGAGGCTATGTATTTGTATAGTTGCACGTTGTTCTAGAAGAGCAAAATCTAGTCTTCATTTTGCTATTTCCTTATTACAGAAGGGCATCAGGTTACAGGGGGTGAGATAAAAGCTAGACATTAGATACACTTTGCCCTGGCTCATGGGAGAGCTGATGAGCTGGGGAAGGACAGTGCCCTCCTGGGTGATCCCTTCCCCTCATGACAGGAGCGCTTCTCTGGAACCTGGCAGTCATTCCAAGGAAGGAGTTCACTGGGGTGTTACCACCCCTCTCCACATGGTTAATTCCTATAGCAACAGCTGCAGAAGGCCCCGTGAGCCAGGTGGGTGGGCCGGAGGTTCCTGGGGGCTTCCTTCAACCTAGGCCAATGGAGTAACTGTCAGCCATTTTTTTTAATTTAATTTTTTTTATTAAAGTATAGTTGATTTACAGTGTTGTGCCGATCTCCACTGTACAGCAGAGTGACTCAGTTATACACATATAGACATTCTTTTTTTAGATATTCATTTCCATTATGGTTTATCACAGGATCTTTTCCATTATGGTTTATCACAGGATATTGAATGTATTTCCCTGTGCCATACAGAAAGAGCTTGTTTATCTGTTCTCTATCTGTCAACCATCTTGTCTCTTCCAGGCTCCACTGGCCCAGCCTGAGTCCCCGACAGCCTCAGCTGGAGATGAGCCCCGGTCCACTCCTGAGTCTGGGGAATCAGACAAAGAGTCAGTTGGCAGCAGCTCTGCCAGCAATGAGGGCAGCAAGAGGAAAGAGAAGTCAAAGCGAGATCGGGAAAAGGACAAGAAGAGAGCAGATTCTGTGGCTAACAAACTGGGCAGCTTTGGCAAAACCTTGGGCAGCAAGCTCAAGAAGAACATGGGAGGCCTGATGCACAGCAAGGGTTCTAAGCCTGGAGGGATGGGAACAGGGTCGGGAGTAAGCAGTGGCACTGAGACGCTGGAGAAGAAGAAGAAGAACTCACTGAAGAGTTGGAAGGGTGGCAAGGAGGAGGCAGCTGGGGATGGGCCTGTATCTGAGAAGCCCACATCTGAGTCTGTTGGTAATGGAGGGAGCAGGTATAGCCAGGAGGTGATGCAAAGCCTGAGCATTATGAGGATTGCAATGCAAGGGGAGGGGAAGTTTATTTTTGTTGGCACCCTGAAGATGGGTCACCGCCACCAGTATCAGGAGGAGATGATCCAGCGCTACCTCACTGATGCTGAGGAGAGATTCCTGGCAGAGCAGAAGCAGAAGGAGGCAGAGAGGAAGATCATGAATGGTGGGGTGGTAGGGAGTGGGCCGCCTCCAGCCAAAAAGCCAGAGCCGGATGGCGCGGAGGAGCTGCTGACTGCCCCTCCAGCAGAACCCAAGGCAGCAGCAGCCTCTACCGGCTACCCTGGTGGCTTTACTGTCCCTCGGCCTTCTGGGGGTGGAGTCCACTGCCAGGAACCCCGGAGGCAGTTGGCAGGGGGGCCGTGTGGGGGGGGCCTACTACCATATGCCACCTTCCCCAGACAGTGCCCTCCTGGGCGACCCTACCCCCACCAGGACAGCATCCCTTCTCTGGAGCCAGGCAGTCACTCCAAGGATGGAGCTCACAGGGGTGCACCGTTAGCACCCCACTTCCGCGTGGCTGATTCCTATAGCAACGGCTACAGAGAGCCCCCTGAGCCAGATGGATGGGCTGGAGGTCCCCGGGGGCTTCCCCCAACCCAGACCAAATGCAAACAACCGAACTGCAGCTTCTACGGACACCCTGAGACAAACAACTTCTGCTCCTGCTGTTACAGGGAAGAACTGAGGAGAAGGGAGCGTGAACCGGGCGGGGAGCTGCTGGTGCACAGGTTCTGAACGGGAAGCCTTGGAGGGCACGGGGGCTAAACAAAGAACGTTAAGTCAATTAATTGGCTCATAAGACCCAGCTCCCATGTTGATGGGGTGAATGCAGTAATGTTGGTGTGAGCCTGGCTAGAAACTCTTAAGTGTATATACTCTGAAGAGCTGCCAGGCTGGCAAGAGCAGGTCAGGGCTGCATGGTGCCTCGAGGGCTATACTGGTCCTTTGCCGATCTTGACTTGATGGTACTGAGGAGGTACAAGGGGAGAAAGATGATAATTGTGTGTCATAACCCCTTGGGTCCATCCCAGGCCTAAGGGAAAGTGTAAGGGAAGATTCGGTGTGGGGGTGGGTAGGTGGGCAGAAGTCTGGGGGAGGAACTGGCAAAGGAGGTTCTCAGTCAATAAAAGAAAAAACAGACCAAAGTTCTTTTAGGTTGGAAAAAAGCACACGGTGGTGGAGTTGGGAGTGTGGAGGGAAACTGGGAAATTAGATTTGCTATTGACTTGAATTAAGCTAGATGTTTAGTGTTGGATAGATTTTTCCTTTTGAAGGATCTGGAAAGACAGGCAGAAATGTGTGCTTCTGGGTGCTTACTAGGAGGGGGGTGGCTTAAATCAGTTTAGTGAGATGGCAAAGGCAAGAACTTAAAGGGGGAATCTTTTTCCTCTGAAGTTTGATTTCCTTCTAAACAGCCATCTGTCATCCCTTCTAGTTAGAGAGGAGATTGCCGATTGCCCCCTATCTTTTCCTCATCCTTTTTGAGGGCTGAGCTCAGCTAAGTTAAGAAGGTTGTGATTTTTTTTAAGACTTTAATTTTATTAAAAAAAACAAAACACAAAAAATGTTCCCTCTGGGGAAGGCAAGAGAATGATAAGAGCAGCTGTGTATGTTGAATTTTTTCCAGGTGAATTGGTGCAGAGGTGATCTTTTTTTAACTACTAGCAATAACCACACATTTGAGTGCGCCTTGGGAGGGGGTGGGAGGAGGACAGACTTTTGGCCAGACTGTTTCAAACAAAACCAAAAACCTAAATAGAGCACTACCATCCTCTGCTGCTGCATTTCTGTAGAAAGCAACTTATTTTTTGGATTTTTTTTTTAAAGAAAAGAAACAAAAAGACCCTAGCAAGCAAAAAACATTAAAAAAAATTAGTTTTTCCCCTCCTATTTAAGTGATTCTTTCTCCTTCCTCTCTACTTTTGGAGAATGAACTTAACATCCAGGCTTCTTTTGTTAAGCCATAGCTGACCTTAATCTGTGGTTAGTTTATTAAAATAATAAAAAAAATACTTTGTAAGAAGAGATATTTTTGATAATAGGACTGATGTTGAAACTTGGGATAGGGATTAGGGGCAATTTATAAAGAGGTAGTTAGAGAAATATATATTTTAGTGAACTATAACCACAGATCACAGATTACTCCCAATGAGCTGATCTGTCATTGGATCTCCCTCCTCTCCCCAAACCATCCTTTTCCCCAGGGGGTGGGAGTAGGTCTGTGGACACAGTAGTGGGGGGAGCTCCTTTGCATTTTGCACAAAGCACAAGTCTGGACAGCCTATGCTCTGGCCAGCACCATTTCTAAGAGCTTTAAACTGGAGGACCTATCCTAGGCCACATTTCCCTTTTCTTTAAATTATTTCTTTCTTGGGGTGGGGGGGGAATCAACTATGCAATTGTATACACTCCTGGGTGCATATGAAGAAGGGGAATAAGTGTACTTAAATGTGTCTAGAGTGTTATTTGGGGCTATTTTTCTGTATTTGGATTTCTCTTTTGAGGTGTGTACTCTTAAACCATCCTGTGGAATGTAATCCTCACATTGATCCAAGGCAGACATGGGCTGGGGGTGTACGTTGGGGGGACTTGTGTTTGCCATATGTTGCTTCTGCCCAATCAGGAACGTTGTCATCCCACCTCCCCTTTGATAACAGTCAGCCAAGACTGTCCTCTTCATTGGAACTGCTCACAATTTAGAAGTTTCCTTTCTCCTCAACAAACTCGAAAAGCCACTTATTTTCTAAATCTGATTGTTGATTTAATAATTTCCATGGCTATTAATTCTTAGGCTTTTATTTGGAAATGGATGTGTTAAGGAAGCAATGAGGTCAAAGGAGATAGGTTCCAAAGGAGGGCATGTTTGTATTCCCAGGCAGGACTAGGGCTGGTGTGAGAGGAGCATTCCCTTCAGGGTCAAAACTTAAGGAGATGCCAGAAGCTCACTAATCAAGAAAAATACTGTTTTAATGCAGCATTTAAGAAAATTAATGCAAAAAATCCATCATGAGCAAAATGTCAAAATCTTTAAAACAGACAGGATCCATCAGGACTGGGGTAAGAGTGAGGGAAGAAAAGCTGAATTGAGCAAGGAGGGGTTGAATCTTGTCTTCATTTAAAATTTTTGATAACTTTATTCATTGTGGCTCTTTTTATATTAGTTTTGATTTTCAGAATATATTGTGTGAAAATAGCATCTTAGTCACCGGTTTTTGAGGCATCCTTAAATTTTGTGCCCAAAGTGAGTGCCTTGCTCACCTCACCCCATGTCTGGGATTAGAACAACACTGGTGAGACCACCACCATATGAACTTCTGTCCCCTAATATGCACCCAAACAACAGGTGACTCAAACTCACACCTAGAATTTGCACAGCTCACCTAGCTTTCCCGTAGGCATCCATCTATATCATAGGATTTTGGCCTGGACCAATAGGAATGGAAACAGACCAGGGATTTTCCCAGAGAATAAAACCAGGAAACTTTTAATTCTCCACTGGACTGCTGTGTTTGGATTTGATCTATTAGTCTAGTTAATACTTTTGTTTTTAAAAACTGAGGACAAATGAACAAAAATGGAAACCTTGTGTCATGTTTGCTTTTGTTTTGATTTATAAATTGACCAACCCCAATCCCTTTTGACTTCTTTTCAAATAAAATGGAAATTCTGAGGGGTGCCCAAGGGGGTGAAAATGGTGGGAAGGGGGGGGTAGGTTATTTAGGCCCTATAGCTTTTTCATTAAGAATTTTTTGTTTTTAATTTGGGAAGGTAACTTTATTGAGGCATTAAAAAAAGATGATAACCTCTCCATTCTAAAAATGAGGGACCCTGAGTCAATGGATGTTTTTCCTTAGGGATGAGTAAAGTCTGTTCTGCTTTATATTTTGAGACGGCTGTAGGATGGGAAGGTGGTGAAAAATTGCCTGGGAAATGACAGTATTTGGGGAGGGAGAAGAGGCAACCTCATGCAATTACTGTGTTGTGGGGAAGGGAGGAGAGGGGTATGTGACATGCACTTCAAATGAGCCAAATTCCTTAGTTGAGGGTGTGATTGGGGTGGGGGGGGGCAGGCCCTTCAATCCTAATTGAGGGATATCATCTCTCAGGCTTAAATAAGTGCACTTAGTTATTTTAACCCAAGGCACTGGGGTACCTACTGAGGTGGTTATTGGAGAGGGGAGATTTTCAGGGCTCTTATTTTTCCCTTTTTGATTTCAGACAGTGCTATGCCTCTACCCACCCTAGGTTCTCCATCTCAGCCCTGATGGAGCAAATAGGTCTATAGGACACGCCTCCAGATTCCTCCTTTTAATTTATGCTGGTTTGATTGAGAGTTACAAGATTTAACCAAACATTTTCCCCTCACACTGGATTCTACAGCAAAATAAAATGATGATATTAAAAGGGTTTTTTTTTTTTTAAGTCTCTCTATGGAGTGGGATGGTGTTCAACTCAGTGCTCTGTGGGGCCTGGATGGAAGTTCCTTCCCTCTGCTGTTGGCTGTTTCTTCTCAAGTGAAACTAAAGCTCACAGACCAACTAAGCAAAAATCAGCAATGACTTTTTAGTGTATGTTTGGGAGTGATACTGAGGTGGAAAGGATGGAGCTGGTTCTGAATGACTTCTGAGAACCTAGCTTTTGCTATTCTTACCACTTGCTATACAGCCACATGTCCAAAGTTCCAGTCACATTTTATCTTTCCCAATAAAGGAATTTCAAAAATAATTGTCCCCAAGTTACTCCAACACCTCTGGACTCTGCATTCTCGTCTTTCTCCAAGGAGTCAGTGTCCCAGACCCACCACCACAGGTGAGAAGACAGAATTAGTAGTCCCTTCTCGTCCTGGAATCACCTGCACCACAGATTTTTCTAATTTCCTTTTCCCTCCAGGCCCTTCAGCTACAGATTCAGTGACTCATACAGGCAGTCTGTTTCTTTCACTTTGTAGAAATCACAGGCTGTTTTGCCCCCTGAACTTAAGTGGATTAACAAAATATTAGGATACCCTCCATGGAGACTTTCTCCACAATCCCTCCCTTTACTGGCCACTTGGGTAAGGGGTGCTAAAAAAGAGGAAGGGAAGCTGGCTGCCAGTAGCGCAGAGAGGAGCGGGGTGGGGAGGACCTTGGCCTCTTTCTGTGCTTATAACTGGATCTATGATTCATCTCATGAGTCGCTCAGCTCCACCTCCTTCCTCTAGCTGCCCCTCCCAGCAGCCTTCACTCCTGGCACAAACCTGCAACCAGACCAGGATTCTGAAGATGGAAAAATCTGATACAGACACTTGCCTCTCCACCGTTCCTTTCATCCCCTAAACCCCCACTGGGGGTGTGGGGGGTGGTCAGAGGTGGGGCGGGGGTGGGGTGGGGGTCGGGTGGGGGTCCTGTTACTTAACACTCAGCTGCTGTCCCCTTTGCATTCCTGGTTAGGTGCTGATCCAAGTCACCCATCTTTTTTCTGGCTCTGACCTTCCCCCATCCCCCCTCATGTTATCTCTATTCTCCTGCTGTTCTACACCTCAAGTATTAAAGAATAGAATGAGGCTCTTGACTGAAGGTGGTGGGGAGAAGGAAAGTGGATAATGGATTTTTAAATTGTGGTACACACCTTTTTCTATTGCCACAGACCTTGGGAAATATTTTCTTCCCGTGAGGGATTGAGGCTGATGGAATGCAGGTGGGGGTGGGGAATGTAGCAGCTTTTAGGACTTCTAGAATCAGGCTTCTGGGACGCCTTCCTAGCAGGTGTATGCCTCTTTGTTCCAGATGGACTCCCTCTCTCACAATATCTTCACTATTTCCACAGTTGCAGCCAAGACAGGGAACTTTTCAAAACTCAGGCCGGAAGGGTGTGTGTGCTGCGGGGAGGAGAGTTGAGTGTCACTGGAAAACTGGGGACCCCACCTAAGGACTGCTGCCTCTGTACAAACTCAAAATCAATAAAACAGCAGCTCAGTAATTTCCTATTTTGTATCTTCTTTTGTCTTTTTCATATCTAAAGGTAGATTTTTGCATACCTACCCTAGTTAATGTTCCTTTACTTCCCTCCTACAGCCTTCCCCACCCATCTTTGCTTCTTGGGTTTCAAGGGGAGGGTTGGGGGATGGGACTGTTGCACTGAACAGAGGGTTCCAGCCCTCAGCTTTCAAAGTCCTCAACATGAATCATTAATTTGGAGATCTGATGTCTGGGTTGGAGGGAGGGCTCCTGTACCTGGAATGGGCTCTAGTTTCCAGTTGTTTGGATGGGGTGCGTGTGTGTGATTAAGTCTTAAGATCTTTTCTTTGGGCCTCCCACCCCCAGCCATAGAACTTGCACGTACCCGTACCTGTGTCAGCATCCTGCAGATATTTCAGTTTCTCTCCCTACTTTTCCACTGCACCCTTCACACAAGATATGTTTCACACTCTTTGGAGAAGAATATACAAAAACACTTCCACTCGCCCCCACCCCAATTCTTGGGCTTCCCCAGGCAAAAATCCTGAGGGCCAATTTCCATTTATTTATCCTCAACCACTTTAGTTCAGACTGTCAGGAGAGGTTGTAAGGAGACCTGAAGTACTTTTAATCATTCCTCGCATCCCCTTAAAGAAGACAAAAACAGCTTCCCAGGGAAGCCATCAGTGAGAATCCAGGGAAGTGGCCCAAATGATTCCAGTTTAATACTTGTCATTACTGCTTCACTCAAATAGTCCCTAAAGCTCATGAACAGAAAGAGGGTAGGATCTAGGCTTGGAGTAAAGAAGGGAATGTGGTTATTTTCTCAGTTCCCCAATTTTTCCTCACCTTTCTTAGGCTCCTCCACTTTCCACTTTTCCAAAATTGTGTGTCTTCTCCTTTAAGGGGCTGGGCATCTCTTCCGCCCTCTCCAGAGTCGACTGAAGTTTCCGTGGAGCCTTCTCTAGCTGGACTGGACACACCTTTCAAAAGACCCCAAATCGTGCTCCTTGCACCTCAAATGCTCCTTTCCCTTGAATCTTCCTCCTGCCCCTCTCCCTGACTTCCCTCCTGCTAGCCACAGGATTCAGCCTCTCCCCAAGGGGCTTGAGCATCCTTGAGGTTTTCCACCCCTGACTGCTCCATCCCCGGATGGAGCCAGAAAAATGTGGTGGGGGGGCCGGGGCCAGAGTTTCAACATCGCCCCCCAGAAGGAGGAGCCAGAGATGGGGGTAAGGAGAGGAAAAGGGCTTGGGGGAAGGGTTTGTCATCTAGAGGGTGCGAATGGGGGTGATGTGGAGAAAGAAAAGAAAAGAATCTAGAGGCGGAGGTCTCATATCAACCTCTGTTGATGGTGCTTGGTCTTTTTTGCAGTCTCAAGTTCATTGTCTCATTATCCATTAACCAGCCCCTCCCTTCCTTAACTCTCTGCCGACGCCTGTCCTGAGCTCTCCACAGCCACTGATCGCAGTGTCTCCTGAGAGTCTGAGTGTAGGCCTCCAGGGTGGCTGCTGAAGTAAGCCCAGACTCCAGGACCAGAGAAGCTCGGGGATTAACCCTACACCCTTCACAGCTCTCTGGACCGAAGTCTGTGCAGGGGACTGGGATGCCAGAGCCCAGGAGTCATCAGCTGGGCAGCTGCCTGGCCTCTGGAGGCCTCCCAGGTAATAATGCCTTCCCAATACTTCTGATTTCCAGACTGTTCCAAATTTTACACTCCTCAAACCCTGTTTCAAACCTCACTAAAGATACCTCTGTATTCCTCTTCTGGCTCAAAGTGCTTTTGCCTGAAATTTGCTCTGTTCTCTGCCCGGGGCTGGCTAGGAGCTTGATGGTCCCTCTGTTTTCTTGACTGTTACTCCTCCTCTGATTAACTTATTAAAAAATATTTGAGGGCCTAAAATCTCTCCTCCTAAGCTTTCATTCTTGTGGGGTTAGGGAGGAATCTTAGTCTTTCCTCTTTAGATTCCCCTGTCTGTTGCAGAAAAACTGGCCTCTGTTCACCTATGCTGAATAGAAAGAGCTTTAAAGGAGTAGAAAAGAAAAAAAAAAAAAAGGAGTAGAAAAGAGTAGCTTTATTACTTTACCAGGCAAACAGGGCCACAGCAAGCTAACACTTTCAAGACTGTGCCCTTTCCCTTCCTGGGAAGTTGGAAGAGGTCTTATAGTTTTAGGGTGGGAAATGGGACTGAAGATAAGGATAAGGGTTGATGTAGACTGGCATTCTTCTCTTGGAGTCACTGGAATCATTAGAGCTGGCTTGGGGCCATTCCAGAACAGGTTCTGGTGGTCCTCAAGGTCATTGTCCTATGACATTCTTTCTGGAAAGAATGCTCCCAAGGAAAGGAGTGTTAGGGAAGGTTGTCTTGGAGGGGTAAACATCAAGTAGCCAGAAGGCAATCATTTTCAGAGGGCAATTAAGCAAGAAAGAGAGGGAGAACAAACATGGGTAGGTTGAGTGAGTGGAGAGAATAAGGGCTGCCTAAAAGCTAACCTTCTCCAAGGCTTTTTCCTTGGAGATGGAAATGGCAACCCACTCCAGTATTCTTGTCTGGAGAATCCCATGGAGGGAGGAGCCTGGTAGGCTACAGTCCATAGAGTCGCAAAGAGTCGGACACGACTGAGCGACTTCACTCACTCACTCACTCAAGGGCTAACATAATGGAGTGCCTCAATTAATTTCTGCCACAGAATGTCTGAGAGGAGTGTGTGTATACGAGTGGGGGCAACACTGCGAACAGTCATAACCTGGCTTCCCTTCTTGCCCTGCAGGGGAGCGGATTCTAGCATGGGCCCCAGGGGTGAGGAAGGGGCTGGAACCTGAAATGCCTGGAACCCTGATCTGCAGCAACTTGAGGGTCACCTTCCAGCCCTGTGGATGGCAGCGGAGTCAGGTGAGGAGGTTAGGGCAGTGGAAAGGACAACCAGTGGCAAGTGGAAAGGGAGTCTAGAAGATTTAGACAAACATTATAGAAGTGAGAGTTATGCTTAAAGGGCTGTCTTTTAAGAGTATCAAGGATTGTTGTTGGGATTGTTGAAGGGAGGTTAGGGCTGTCAAAATAGGACAATGAATGAGACTTCAGATGTCTTTAGCGTCAGTCATGTGCTTCTTCTAGGAGACTCCCCTGAGCAGTGAGTATGATTTTTCCCTGGCCAACATTGGGCGATTAGAAGCTGGTAAGTGTGGCGGTTTGCTGAAAGGGCTCACTGTGGGTGCTGGAACCCTTCCTCATCCTTCCTGTATTCTCAGAGGACAGACTGAGTGGATGGAGTGGGATGGGCTAGAAGAGTTCCTCCTAGAGGGACCCTGATTCATGGCTATACCACTCTTCAACTCTTGACTTCAGTGAATGGCCCGTCCCGAGTCCAGCTCCTCCGTCCAGGGTCCCTGCTTAAATTTATCCCTGAGGAGATTCTGATTCATGGCCAAGACTTCCGGCTACTCAGAGTCGGTTTTGAGGCTGGAGGACTA